TAAAAGCAATCTTTAGAAAACTTTCAATTTTACATACATAAAGTACAGCCGTATCACAAATATATATGCTACACTTTAAAGATTATGAAAAACATCTGACTGCGTAAAATATTTGTACGATATATATATATAACAGGTGAACGATAAGATTGGCATTAATTTTCATCCGCATTTTACAAAGTTTTGCAAAACAAGACAAAACAGTTTTTGTGTTGTTTTGACTTTAAAGTAGTCTTTGTGTTGTTTTGACTTTAAAGTAGTCTTTGTGTTGTTTTGACTTTAAAGTAGTCTTTGTGTTGTTTTGACTTTAAAGTAGTCTTTGTGTTGCACGAGACTTTAAAGTAGTCTTTGTGTTGCACGAGACTTTAAAGTAGTCTTTGTGTTGCACGAAACAACACAAAGACTACTTTAAAGTTACTTTGTGAATAATATATTTTTTAATATTAGGAAGTACTTATATGTAATGTTTGAATGGTTTTGAAAGGAATGTGACTGTGTACTAATTTTATATCACAATTTATGTTTGCATAAAGAAAGTAAAGTTTTTCGTTCGAAATTTTATTTTAATAGCATGTAACAAAAGTTCAAAAATGGGTAAATTATACTGAAAACTAAGCTTTTGACAAAAACTGTCAAAAATTCCAATCTTATAGGGCAACAATATAACAACAGGCAGAAAAGCGAAACTTGAGAATAGATAAAATAACAGATAATTTTGCCGGACTTTCAAACGGATGCTTTCCTCAACCCTCTAAACTTTACTGAGAAGATGGTCATAAATTTGGCGACCATAATACAGATGTTATTTGTTTTTTTGAAACGTATTCCGAAAGCAGCCTTAATTATTATATCCTTTATACTGATTTTGAAGGAACCTAAATGGATCAAGTAGAATTTCTAGAGAAAGGAATGTAATGTTTTGGGCCTACAGGCTCACAGATACACAAGACACCGTTGAATAACAAATGCAGAAATTCACTGCATTGATCTAAGATTTATTTTGCTCTATATTGATGTATGGCAGCAGGTTTAAATATTGAATTTTCCACATACGGTAATTTTCCTTTTAATGTAGGCTACCTGTCATTAAACGTTAAATATTTAACTAAGATTTATGTATTGTTGGGTATAACAACTTGTTCTGTTTAATATTTATTTCTTTTACAGCTACCTTTGCAAACTTCGTAATGAAAAACTTTCGGCATATGCAACAGAATGTCGGCACTATTGCTTTTGAAACAATCCAAATGTTAAAGCGAATATAGGAAAGCAAAGTTCCATTTCGATACAATTCATTGTTTTTTAGCGCATGCGTGAAAAATCATCCCAGCAAGTATTCTATGGGTTCAAAGATTGGCGTTGCCTATGCACGTAATCTCTACCAGGCCAAAAAAAGAAAGGGCGATTCTGTTTGTTATCTTTCAATCGTTTTGGTTGCAGAGAGAAGATTACACGAAGCTTGTGTTTGGTGTAGAAATATAAACGTCAGTGATCTTTACATAAAAACGATAAGACATAGTTAAGTCAAAGGTGGGAGAAATTATTTCTTATTCTTTATATAAGAACAGTGTCGTGATGAGCGTTTAGCATTTTCCAGATGAAAAGAATTAAGCATTGCCACGAAAAGGCCAAATAAAAACAAAGTGCAATAAACCACAAAACTAGCAAAAGATATTTTCAGTCAAATATTCTGACAGCAACTTGTCTTGTTGTGAAAAAAGTCTAAATATTTCATTTGATTTTGTCGGCGCTAATTTTTGCTTTTAATACCGACGTGTTTTTGTTGAGAATACTTTATCATACCTTTGTTTTATTATCATTTTCCCTTCAGACAATACAAAATATATAGAAACCTTCGTCTTTTGAGTTCTATTTTAAAAAAGTACATTGGAAAAAGTATAATTCATTCCCATCTTTCATTCAAAATAAACTTTAAGTTTAATGAATTATGTCAAAAAATATTTTGAAATTGGAACAAGTGCTACAAAAAAAATTACGACAAAAATGTTCTGATACTGGAACAGCTACTGCAAAAAGAATTTCGTGATCCTTTTCGTAGTTTATTATCACAGACAAAAAGATATTTACATAAAATATGGAGAACAAATAATTGTAGTTGATATAAACGAACAACGATAAATCCGTTAAATGTACTTATTTTTATTGGAAGAAAATGCGTACGGAAGAAAATGATTTTGTTCAAGTATTGTTGAATTCATAAAATTTGTTCTCCTTTAAGTTGCGAAGACAACAGGTATCATCGATTCAATATGAGACTGCCACCTGTACATGCAAATATATTACAAATAAGACACTTGTATCATGTAAGTATTTTCTCGAAAAAATTAACCTGATGACACCGCCTCGCAACGCAAAAACCTTGTTCACCAGCTTCAAAAGAAGATTCGTTGATTAAATTGCTAGAAAATTATTTGAAATCAGAACAGCTGTTAAGAGAAAAACTTCCGCTATAAATTTGTTTTTTCATGCTCACACACAAAAGAAATTTACATAAAAATGTGAGCACAAGGAGTTGTGTTTAATGTAATAAATCACTATAGTATGAGTACAAGCGTTACATCCAAACAACCAATCCTAATAACCCCAATGTTGTTGTATCTAAAACTAGCTAATAACATTATTAAATATGCTCGAGGATTTCATTGCAAATAGTTTTTGATATTTATAGTTTTTCAATACATCATGGTGAATATCACCAAAAGCTCAAAAACTTTACTAACATTAACAAGTCCAATAACTTACGGATAACAAAAAAAAACTGTATAGAACGTTGATATCTGATCATTTCTGGCAGAATTGAAAATTAAGCTTCTCAAAAGCTAAACTTTAACTTCTATTTGTAGATTGAAGAAAATTGAGAATTCTACGTCACATGACTTTGACATTTTTAGCTTATAGAAGCCAAACTGCTGACTATGTTGAATTTAGTGTGAAAAATACAAATTAAGAAGTTAACTGCATACATTGAATGCGTATAAACAAAAATTAACGTGAGACTTGCCAGGCGGGAAACGAATTCGTGTTAAAAAAACAATTGCCCAACATAAAATATATTAAGTATGAGTGAAGATACTGATATGGTGATACTGTTTTCCTGTCAGGGGATAAATCTCCAGGTGCTCTGAGACTCTGGTGTTGTTTATCTCTTTAAGTGTCGATGTTGCAACGCGTCGTATGTTGGTCGCAATGTCTCTTCTTTTAGCCAAAATTTGGATATGAACTTGCCTTGTTGAGCAAGCTAAATACTTCGGTTTATTTCCTCAGTGTCGATTCTCACTTTTTATTTGACGCGTTTTTTATCACATTAGTTTATCACGACTTTATTTCATTCACTTTTTTGAGATTGGATATAATAATCTTTTTTCAGTTATTACTCAAACTATAAACTCTGTGCTACTTATCTTGTAATGACAACACGTATTGTCGGTCGGTTCTTTACAAGATTCCACCTGCGTACACAAATTACAAATAAGGCATCTTGAGTGAAATGACTGTTTTCTCAAATTGACCATTGGCTTAGTTGATATTGCTTCTACAGCTACCATAGAAAAATAGCGAGAAAAAATCTTCGAAAAATAAAACAGACTTTTGGTAGTGGAGATTTTATAACAATCATGAATATTGATGCCATTATTGGAAAGCGCTTTTTCATTATCGGGCGTCTCATTTTATTATCCACGCATTCCCGAGAAAGTACCGCAGCACGTATTTCTTTGGTTCCTATCGCCTTTGATGTTTGTTCGTCTCATTAAAAGATCATCCCCGCACACGTACACATGAGCTCCTCAACGTAACCATGTTTTTGTGGCACGTTCACAAGATCCGATTTCTCGGTCCGCTAATTTTGTTAATATTTATATTCGTCTGGATACTTCTAATAGTAGTAGCAGCCATTTATTTTATCTAGAACATTTATTGATACATTTTTCATCTTTATGTCCTTGGTTCCAAGTTTTTTTCAAATCTAAATATGGAAAGTATGGATGGTGAAAACTCTGGTTTTATTTGGCTTTATCTGATCTTTTCAAGTTCTATATCCGACATTTCAGACTGACCCATCCAAATGTGGTAGGCTCAATTTATATGTGTTCACACGATCCGTTTTTTAGGATCTAACAAATCGAATCGTGTAAACGCACCTTAAGTGTGGCAACTTATACATCAACATATGATAAGCTTTAAAAAACAAATGCAAAAATTAACTTATCTACCTCACGAATTCCTTGGATATAGATTCGTATACCGCAGATACTTGAGGCGTTTGATTGTATTTCCCTTAAATATGAGGCAACCTGTCAGCAGAGGCGTAAAGAGAACGTAAATTTGGGGGAAGGGGTGGGGCTCAAAATCATATATTCCATTGTGCCCTACTGATTTCTTTTGAAAGTGAGTTGAATTTCAAAAGAAATCAGTACGGCACAACTGAATATATGAATATAAACACCCCTAATTAACGTTCTAGTTACGCCTTTGCCTGTGAGTGTATACATCTGTCTTGAACATGCATGCATTTAAGAGTAGAATTTGAAAATGCTAAGCCTTAGAGCTCCACAAAGTATTGGTGAACAGCAAATCCGTGTAGCACTGTTTATCTGTAAATTGTATAAAAGCAAACAAAATTGTTTTATTTGAAAATTTTAGTTTAAATAGATATGGGAGATTCTGCAACTTTAAAAAATGAAGACAGCCAATCAAATGATAAATCTAAGATATTCAACGATCCAATTCATGGTTTCATCGAACTTCATCCATTGTTGGTCAAGATTATCAACACACGACAGTTTTAGCGTTTGAAAGATATCAAGCAGTTGGGACTCTGTGATTATGTTTACCCTGTAGCAACTCATACTAGGTAAGGTTATTACGTGGAAAACACTATGGGATATGTTTTATACATTAAGTGGTGAATAGCGCAACTTTTGAAAATATTTACCCACACAATGTATCTTCAAACAGGTTCGAACACGCTCTTGGAACATCTTATATGTGTGGAAAATTGATCGATTTACTTTACGAGCTTCATCGTGAAGAGAGAAAAAGATAAAATATAGAAAAAATTGAAATCACAAAAGAGGAACGTTTATGTGTCAAAATTGCAGGTCTTTGTCGTGGTCTTGGCCATGGACCGTTCTCTTATTTCTTTGAAAAAGTGTACATGAAAAAGTTTTGTCGTGAAAGTACTGACAATGAGTGGAAACACGCGACGGCGTCAGTAGAACTATTTGATCATATGCTCAAGTCAAATCGTGAACTTAAGGACAGTTTTGCAAAGGAAAACCTTGATGAGGATCATATAAAATTCATTAAAGATCTCATCAAAGGTAATGCTAGAAATCATGATAAAGTTCATGCTAGCTCTCATTAGGATTCAAACTCATTATTTATTATACCTTCCAAATTATTACTCCAGTAACACAACTCCACATTTATATTGCAGTCACCCGAGACTTTATAAATTCTCGTTGTATGCAGGTAAAGACCCTAACAAAGAAGAAGAAAAGGTAGAAAGGATATGTCCATTTACAGGTCAACCAAAATGGTTTCTTTATGAAATCGTGTCAAACAAACGAAATCATATCGACTGCAAAAAATTTGATTACATTGCCCGTGACTGCGCTAATGTTGGAGTGAAAAGTAATTTTGACCACAGACGCTACTTTGAAAATGTTCGCATCATGTCTTTTAAAGGCCAACTTCAGATCTGCGTACGTGACAAAGAGGTGTTTAACTTGTACGAGTTGTTCCACACACGTTGGTCCCTCTATCACAGAGTTTATCAACACAAAACTAAGGCACCAATAGAAGATTTGCTAGCTAGGGCGTTTTACAAAGTCGATAAAATCATGAAAATCTCAGAAGCTGTGAACTATATGAAACGATACACCGTTCTGACAGACAGCATTCTGTATGGCATCTTACGAAATGAGAGCCGGAAGCGAGCTGTCGGAAAAGCGCAGGATTTGATAAGATACATACAAGAACGGAAGATTTACAAATTCTGTGGTCAGACTGATTTACCGTCGAGCTTCACCTGCCCAAAAGAGGATGAAATCGTCCAAAAGTTGATTGATCTATCAGAAAGAAAATTGACAAAGAACGACATATTTGTTTCTATAGTGGAATTCGACTTTGCGATGAAAGATAAAAATCCAGTTGATGCTGTCAGGTTTTTCGATAAATCCCGCAGGGAAACGTTTGCGATAAAAAGAGAAGAAGTTAGTAAAATGTTGCCACAAAATTTCCATGAAACATATATCAGAGTTTACGCAAAAAACCAGGAACAAAATGAAGAACAGATTCAATTGATTAATGAAATAATTGAAAAATGGTGCGACAATAATGAATTTCCAAAACCATATGTTCCTAAAGCCTTATGAACGATTTTATGCCACATCTTTCTGTTCTAAAAACACACTTGATAGTTTCTTATAACTTAAACAACATATCGTAAATTCAAAACACCAATGATTATAGACACTTTAAATGCCCAAGTCGGACAGTAAATATGGAAAAGTAAAAAAATAGCTGGAGTGTAAAAGATGGAAGAATGGAAACAAAGGAATGAATAAATATTGATAATTATATTATAATCTATGCTAAAAATACTTTATGTTAGAGCAGCACAAAACTGAATCAAAATAAAATGAGAAGTATTATAATAAACTTCCAACTTTCAATACTGACATGTATTTTTGTAGTCCGGTGACGTAAACGTTATGAGCGAAATACAGTATACTGAAAAATGTCAACAAATTTAATAATGCCTGTAGATATATACGGCCTTGGTGATAAATTCGACGTAAAACTCGCCAAAAAGTTTTCAACTTAGTAAATCGGTACAGAGCTTCCGACGCCAATCGAATTCAATCTGATCTAATGCAAACAAACATAAATATTACCTTTCATTGTAAATATCGGTTCATTAAACAACTGATGATAGACATTACCAAATCCTGACGTCATAAAAACTACTAGCCATAGCCATGTCTACCACGTGAAATACGACGTCACTTGATTTTTGCAGTTGTTTCATTAAAGCGTTGTTTGACTCCCAGTCGGACTACTAGCTATAACCATGGCTACCACATGAAATACGACGTCACTTGATTTTGCAGTTGTTTCATTAAAGCGTTGTTTGACTCCCAGTCGGACTACTAGCTATAACCATGGCTACCACATGAAATACGACGTCACTTGATTTTTGCAGTTGTTTCATTAAAGCGTTGTTTGACTCCCAGTCGGTTATCCCTGTAAAGGAAATGCATTTAAAAGTTTGTACAAAGTTCAAACTGTCTACTGTAGTTTGTAAAATGAAAGATAAATTGTTTCCAGCAAAACAATAAATGATTGTGGCGAGTTAAAACGATCAAATACTTATCATTAAACAAATCTACCTGATCATTTTCATACAATTCTGACATTATACATACAAATACTATGCAAATTTATAACAAGTAATTTAGCCTAATTTATGAATTACAACAGGAATTATTTATAGCAACTCATGTGTCGCAATATACAAAAATAAATTTTTATATCCTTTTGAAGCCTGAGATGTATAGTTCTACATAATAATATTTAACTGACTTTAATGACCTCGCACATCAAGTAGTGAATCCTATGCTAAAATGAACAAGGATGAAAATTCCGGCTTTACAAAAAAGTTTTGAACAATTGAAAACATCGAAGCACTTGAACGTATTTGTATAATAGAAAAAGATTTCAAAGGACATCAAAGTAAAGTACTTGAAATTCAATCCCTTAATCCACCTTTCCGACTTTAAACATGCGTGTCAAAATACGAGATCAAATTACAAAATTCGGACAATTAAATGGTCAGACATAGTATTGTTTATGTAAAATAGTGGCAATAAATCAGAAAGAAGATGCTCTTTGGGGCATTTGTAAATATTATTTTAGAAATACAGATCGACTAATTATAAAGGCAGAAGGTGTAAGAGTAAATAAAAACCATTTTCCGTCAAATCATAGGAAAGCTTGGATATGACTTGCAATATGCAGATACAAAGTTATGGAGAAAAATAAAAACATCTCTAACGTCGGTTGTCACGGATATAACGAGTGCCATTAGAAAGTGTTGATGACTTTGATATGCATTTGTCAAAACAAGCTTAAGTAGACAGAGAGCATGTTAAAAAATATATTATTAAAAAATATCTAAGCGCATGTACAAACACAAATTTCAGAGCACGCTCCGTCACAAAATAAATGAGAACAACCAACCGTATGTACTGGTACCGATTATGGAATAATTAGTTCGCTCAGTCACAAATTTTCAGATAAATCATTTGCGCATGCATTCCGCCTATCTTCAAAGGGCAAAACATAAAATACACTTCTGGTTGGCTAAGGGACTGATGTTGATTTAGTAAATAGCTTATTAGCTAAACTGTTCTCTGCTCGATCATCGGCCGAACAGAATGTTATCGTTTATGAACGGCCTACTCATGATTTATCAATCCAAAATAAGGGACGAGCATTTCAGAGAGATTGATATGAGGTGAAGGACTGGCTGTGTGGCAGTACAACCTTGCATGTCTAATATTTTCCTCGCAAACATCGCTATCATGGACTAAGAATGGCTACAACGATATGTGGAGTATTATGTCTGATGCTAATGAGCATGAAAAATCTAAATCGCATTTGACTGCTTTTAAGACATGGAAAACGTATGGAGCTGGTGAACGAATTGATTGTCTTATGTCTCTCGCTAGAAAAAATGAGATTAAGCGTCACAATGAGGAGGTAAGGCAAAATCGAGAAATTTTAAAAACTGTTACTGAGGCAGTGCTGTATTTGTCAAAGTAAGAGTTGCCATTTAGAGGTCACGATGAGTCCGAAGGTAGCTTGACAAAGGTAATTATAGAGAGTTGCTCGAATGTTTTGCAAAGTTTGATTCTGTATTTGAGCGTCGACTGCACAGTAGACTAGCAGAATCTGATAGAGTTGGCGACAGAAGATTTACTGGAGTCTCCCAGATATTCAAAATGATCTTATCAGCTGTCTTGATTTAGTCATTGAAGATGAAATCAGATATAATAGAAAAACTGGTTTTGCAAACATATGATGGTGCTTTTGTGATGTTTGGCCATATCAATGGTGTTCAATCATTGGTTTGACAAGAGTATCCTTTTGCCCATTTTGTTCATTGTGCAGCTCATAGATTGAACCTTGTCCTATGCCAGCCAGCCTCATTAATTTCTCCTGTTAAAATCTTTTTTACTAATATAAGTACATTCGGCATTTACAAGCAATGCCCCAAAAGAAAAGCTTTTCTCACATCAAACAATCTTGAGTTTCCTGCCCCTGGTGAAACAAGATGGTATTATCGCTCTAGATTAATCAATGTATTCCACAAAAACTATGAAAAATTTTAAATATTTTTGAGGGGGTACTTGAACAAACAGCTGGATGGGATGATGAGTCATTAAGTAAAATAAGTGGCTTACTGCATTATCTTGATAGCTTTTTCTTTTGTTTTCTAGTGTATGTTTTTTACAGGATCTTAGAACAGTGTACAATTTTGTATTCTATTCTTCAAAATAGGGAAACCCATTTTAATTATGGCATAAGCAAGATTGAAAATTTCAAGCAGTTTATTGTATCACTTCGCACAGATCAACGTTTCACCGAGTTTTACCAAACTGCAATAGAAAAAATATGCCCACCAGCAACCAGAGCTGATAGCAGATACAATTACAAACAGCTGTATTTTGAGATTATTGATTCCATTAAAAGCATGTTAAGTGAACGATTTCAAGATATTAATCAGTTCGAGTTTTTAGATTTTGGAAATCCTAAACTCTTTACTTTATGGAAGGGTATAGTTCTACAGGAGAAGATCAATCTTCTCAAAGAAAAGTATAGTCCTCTTTTTGACATCCATACTTTGAAGAGTCAACTTTCCTTCATTTACAACGACAAGGACTTTCAAAAAGAGTGCAGTAATGAGATGCTTAAATACATCTACAATTTTAATCTTCAGTCGAGCTTACGTCAAGTGGTAAATATGTCAAAATCAAATTATGTCTTGCCAGTGGCGACTGCTTCAGTAGAGAGGTCGTTTTCTTGCTTATAAAGTGTAAAAAGCTATTTGAGGAGTAGAATGGGTCAAGGTCGGCTTAAATCTTTTTGTGTAGAATATCTATTCGCAAAGATATCATTGAACAGAGCGAGGAATCAGAGGTGTTACATAATGAGGGGATTGAAAATTTTGTAGAAAAACCCAGGAGGCCGGCCTTTCTTTATAAATGATGGGTATAGTATGTGTTTTGATAATTGTGCTTATAATGCATGGTACTTCATTGAGAAAATTAAGCATAACTTTAAAGAATAAAGCCATCCCTGTCTACCTGCCCCAATCTAAACAAGTTTAAACTAACGATGGGACGCTAAGAACAATCTCTCTCTATGCATTTTAGGAAGTGTCGTGAACTAGGTTATTTTTTGTGTTAATCCAAATTTCTTCTGTTTATTCAGGGGCAGTGATGAGTTCGATTCATTATGTTTTAAGAGACAATTGTCTCCTGCGTAACATTTCTCTGAGCCACCTTTAGTACCTATTTAACTAGTTGCAGTTTCGACGATTTCCACATTAAGAATGCAGCTAATAAAAACGGTTTTTTATAACTTAGTGTACAACAAATAATTCGCTCTCCAAATTGCCGGAAATGCTTGTTTCCAAGGTTCTGCTAACAACTGAGAAGTATTTTGAAAAGAAGTGATAAAATCTCTAAACGACAAGCTAGAACTCGACGTTATATGATTCTTAGAGCAAACTTAGCTACGAATTGTTTACAATATGTCAGAATTGTTAAATTTTTGTATTTTTCAACAATCTCTTTCATAGGTTGTGATGATTGTTAAAATTCAGTTAAGGCTTTATGCCCAAGATCATGTTTTACAGTTCAAGAAAGAATATTTTTCAGTGAGCCATTTCAAAAGACAGAAAGCTGGATTTTTTTGCTTTAGTTGAAATTTTGTTTTACTGCGAGTTTCATTAGCAAGGACTTTCATAGATAAATATTGTCCTTGTCATACCATGAAAAGGACAAAGAAAGAGTTCTGGCAAATTGATTTAAAAAATTATCCTGTATTTATATTTCTCTAGCTGCAACAAATCTAATGATGATTCTGATCTATTATACCTACTAAATTACCAATTTACTCTGTGTCCTTGGATAAAAGTTTATAATGTCGATTTAAAATAAAGAATATCTGAATTAGTTTTGAAGTCATTCTTTATATAATTAAGGTATGGAAACAGTAACTCAAGATGGTTTGGGACATTGGTTTGTAATGGAGACAAGAACTTCGGTTAGAAGAAAGTGAGCAAGCACTTTAATGCTTAGTGTAGGTTCTACAAATCCAAAAAATGTTGTCCTTTTATATTTAAACAGAGGAATTTCAGAATTTTACTCTTCCAAAGCAAAGAATGGACTCCACTTATACTATGTTGAGTGACCTTGTAGAAAGAGTGGTTAAAACATTGAATCAAAGCAATTTTTGTGTTTAGTGTGTCTTATAGCCTCGTAGCAATACTTTTAAAACTTTACTTTTGCGCTTGCATCACTTAGGGCAGGTTAATAAGAAAGGCACGTACTTTATGGCATCTGTAACATAGCTGTAACCTGCTAAATTTTTGTTCTGCAATTTT